GGGGACGTGGCATGTGAAGCCCAAACGGCAGGGGAACAGCAGACCGACCCTTTCTTCACATCGATTCACCTGCTCTCCCCACTAGAACGGATCCTCAGTCAGTGCACAAGCTCACTGACCCTGTCCGCTGGCATCCGGCTGGTACCTGGATGAGCGTCAGCCACGGGTGGGGGCTCGGTCCACGTGACGTGGTCGGAGTGAGCCAGCTGCGGAGAGAGCTGTGGTGTGCAGTGGTGGCTCTTCTGTCCTCATTGCTGTGTCACCACCACCTCGCGTGACTATATTGCTCTTGGCTTCTTCATCATGCTGCAGATGGATACTGAGTTGTGTCTCCAGTGTTGGGGTTTCACGGGCAGCGCTACATGAGTGTGCTTGCACATTTGTTTGGAGGGCAGAGGGACTCATCGCTCTCGGAGTGGAGGTGCTGGGTCACAGGGGAGGCACACATTTGGCTTCGGGAGGAGAGACCACACGGTTCCCCAAGAGTTTGCCCCCATCTTCCCTTGGGCCAGCACGTGCACTCACCCTGCCGCTGATGACAGGAGTTGCCTTCCTCTGTGTATCTGTCACTCGAAATTACCTTAAAACATAACACACAACTTGAACCACTAGTGTTTCTGTAATACCAGCTCTGAGGTCTGCAGCTAGTCAGTGTCCTCACCCAAAGGAGACAAGAGGCTCCGGTCCTTCCGTTCCCCACCATCACCACCCTCCCTCCTCCAGGCGCGGCCCACCCGCCAGACGAACATGGGGCTTTAGATTCAGATAATTGTCATATTAATGTCACACGTCACATGTCACAACCCAAGACTTAGCGTAGACTTAACCATTTCATTGGTAATTACACGTAGCTTCTTGCTTCCCATTTCTTTGTCTTGGCTTCATTTTCATTCCTGCTTGAGCACAACCTCAAGGAATTCCTTCAGAGAGAGTTCCTGCGTGGTACAGCGTCTGAATCTGAACATATCTGAGTATTCTCTACTCTTCCTTCCCTCCTACTGTATAGTTAGGTGGGCATTGAAGTCTCACTCAGGAAATTATTCTCCCTCAAAATTTGGAAGCTATGACTCTATTGTCTTTTTAAAGATGCCTCTAATAGTCACTGAGGGTGGAAATCACCGGGATTAATGATTCATAAAGTCTCCTAAGTTTCTCCAGCCAGGAAGGTTTGGCGGCTCAGGAGCAGTTCCCGTTAACTGTCAGTTCTCAGAAGCTGCGCTGGACCTTGCCGCTCCTGGATGGTAGATGGTCCAGGCAGTTCCTGCCAGAACCCTGGGACTGTGACTCGTTGGCCTGGCTGGGATCCCACACCCATCCCTGACTATAGCTGAGGCTGGGGGATGGAGTTCAGTGAGGCCCATCTGAGAGGCGTGGCTGGTTTCATTGAGCACCTCCCTTCCCCTGGCACATCCGAGCGAGGTGACGCCCCAGAGGCCCAGGAGGGAGGTCCCAGGTCCCTGTAGTTAGAGTCTCCAGATGTCCGTGGGGGACGCTTTGTGACCAATCCTGCATCATCGCATCGAGGTCCATGTTTATAAGCATGGTCTTTTTTTGTTTTGGTAGAAAGTATTTACAATTTTTCATCATTTTGTGATTGTACAAGTGATGGATGTATATGTTCTTGTCATAAAAAGGGTAAGCAACGCAGCAGCATCAGAGGTAGGGCCTCCTTCCCACGGCTCCTCGTGGACCACCGGCTCCCTCTTCGTCTCTGCTCTCCTGTCTCCAGAGGTGGACCCAACGGACCAAGCCCCTCCCCTTGAATCTGGGCTGACCCTGTGACTTACTTTAACCAGTACAATGTGGAGGAAGTGACAGTGTCCCCTGGAGACTCTGAGAGCTTCAATCATTTAAAAATGGCCGCATTTGGAATCATAGTTTGGATGTGCCCTAAGTGTTTAGCCAAGCATTTATGGATGAACATTCGAGAAGGGGTTCACATTGTAACTATGCAGGCAGTGATGCAATGAATGTTTTGTACGTACAATTTCACGCACTCACACATGAATAAATGTCTACAAATGATGCTGCTGGGTCAAAGACAAGTGCTTTTTCCATTTCCATAGATACTCCCAAAGAGTCTTCCAAAAAGTTTTCACCAAATTATAGGAACATAAGGGAGGGCCCTTTTTCCTGCTTCCTCACGCAGTTTGACCATTCAGCTGGGTGAAAAATGATCTCTCTGTTTGGGTTTAATTGCTCTGATCTCTTGCCCATTGTTTTCTCTTGAGTTGATGGGCTTACTTAATGACTCACAGAAACTCTTGGAGTGGCCTGGTCATTAATTTTTTCCCTGTTAAATTGATTGCCTTTTTCTTAATCTTTCATTTGTCTTTTTATGGTATTTATATCGCTTGTCTTTGCTAACAAAAATTATTAATTTTCATGAGTTACCTTATGGCCTTTGAGTTTTAGGCCTTGGTACAGAAATAGTATTTTATGTTTTCTTATAATGCTTTTGTACGTTTGTTCCTCAGCCTTCACTCTTTAATCCTTTCGGGATTTATTTTTGGGGATGGGGTAAGGTGAGCATGTCATAGAGGCCGTGCCAATCCTACGCTGCGGTGGGCACGGCACACGCCTCACCCGGCCTCCCTCAGCCATGTGGTCTGGATGTGTGGCCCGTCACGTACTCATGTTCTTCAGAATCTTCCTGTATCATTAAACTTTGGAATTAATTTTCCAAGCTCTAGGAAAAAATCCTGTTGAGACTTCAGGTGGCATCACAGTAAAATCATAGATTGATTTGGGGGAAAATTGACATTTGTTTAGTATTAAATCTTGCAGTCCAGAAATCATGACACATCTTTCCACAGATGCAGGTTTTCTTTAATTTATTTATCCTTCATTAAAGGTTTTTTTCAATTTGATCTTGCACGTTTCTTAAGCTTAATTCATGTTGTGTTTCCTACAATCGGAAACAAGACAATGACCCCCTTCGATCCCTGGTTTCTTTTGCTGGCCTTTGCCTGGTCGAGAATCTGCTCTGTCTTGTCAGCCTTGTCTTTGTCACTCCATGTAATGCACCTTATTTTTAACCAGGGTGAAAGCTTTGACTTTTAATTGGTGGGTTTGATCAATTCACGATTATTATGATTACTAAGATGTTTGGACCCGTTCCTGTTGTTTTGATTTCTATTTTCCCCATGTCTTTTATTTGTGCATTTCTGGCTTTCCCCCTTCTTTCTGTCGGCTGGACTGTCTTTATTTGTTTCCTCCTCCTGTTCTCTAGCAGTTTGAAGGTCAGTCATCCTATTCTTATTGCTTATGAGTTTTACTGCCTTTTTACAGGTATGTGATTGAACATTGTCTTTGCTGCTGCAGTTAATCACTTCTGTGCTGCCTCCAAAAACGCAGCGTGTCCCCCCAGCTCGTGCTTCCCCAGCTCCAACCTCTTCTTTCGGTCTGCCCCGACCAGCCGCGTTGAGGTCTTCTGAGATGTAGCTCCCTGTCACTGTAAAAAAAATATTTAAACTTATGCGTCAGAAAGTATGAAGCACCAGGCGTACCGGTGACTTTTGTTGATTTGTTCCTTATTATTTTTCTCCTAGCCCACATCCTCCTGTTTTTTATATTCATTGTTCTTCTGGAATAATTCTTTCAGGGAGTGCCTGTGGGTGGTTAACTTTCTGAGTCCTTGCTTTGTCCTCCCACCTGAATGCCAGTTTGGGTGGATCTAAGATTCTTGGCTCAATATGCTCTTCTTCAGACTTCCAACGGTGGTGTTTGTCTTCTCATACTGAGTGTGCAAGAGAACTTGCTCTGTGAGTAACCCGTGTCCCTTCCCCTCACGGAACACCTGCAGGATGTTTCTCTCTGGATCCTTTTGTCCTGAAACAGAGCTGCTATGTGTCCACAAGTGGGTCTTTTTATATTTCTTCTGCCTGCCTTAAAAATATAGACACTCCTGTTTCATCCAACACTCAACATTTTATTCTCTTTGTTCTTGAATATTTCTTCTCCTCTGTTTCTTTCTTTCTTTTTTTTTGGAATTCGTATGAGGCAGGTGCAGGAACTTTTGGATCCAAACCCCAAGACTTTACAGTTTCTTTTGTATGTTGGTCTTCTAGCCCCGCTGGGATGTTTCCTGGGTCCCATTGTCCAGTTTCCATAGTTCTTTGTACATCTCTTGGACCTATTGATTGAATTTTCTGTGTACATCCTAAATCAATAGACTTTCTCTCTGCTGGTGAAAGCCAGATAGACGTGCAAAGGAAAAAATCAAAATGTCATACCTAATGGTAACCAAAAAAAAAAAAAAATGCCTTAGAATACATTGGAGAAGAAAAGCATGGGACATATGTCATAAAGCCACAGAGTCTTACTAAAGACAATAAATATCTAAAATGGAGACAATACTCATGATTAGGGATAAAAAATTTAATAGCAAATATAAGTTCTTCGCAAGGTAAGAGGAAATCTCCACTAGAATCCAGTTTTTGAGGGGTAGAGGAACTTCACAACATGAGTTTTAAATTCTTAAGAGGAAATACACACAAGAGACGTGGAATTGACTCAGGAGGTGTAATAAGATCGAGCTCAGGTAAAGGTCCATACAGAAAACAATTTAATATACCACGATGTTGGCGTGTCACTGCAGGAAGACGGGGATCAGTGGCATGGACTTAAATAAGAGTCCATCTGGAGCCTGACTTTGTTAACTCATGCCATGTCCTGTACAAGCAGATGAACTCCAAATAGGTTAAAAAGCCAAATAAAAAACATTAAACAAAACACGTAAAGAAGTGGGGCACCTGGGTGACTTAGTTGGTTAAGCGTCTTGATTTTGGCTCAGGTCAGGATCTCAGGGTTGTGAGATTGAGCCCCACATGAGGCTCTGCACTCAGTGGGGAGTCTGCTTGAGGATTCTCTCTCTCCCTCTGCCCCCTTCCCCCACTTGTGCCCGTGCATGCCTCCCCTCAAATAAATAAAGTAAAAAAAACATGTAAAGAAGTCAATGCATACACGTAAGTAATAAAATATTGTTAAATACAATTTAGGAGAATATTGTGACCTTCTTGAGCAACACAGCACCCTCCAGAGCCATACGGAACACGATAGACGTGTGATTACAGGAATTACTACAATGTTCCTGCAGTAACAACTTGCATCAGGTAAAATGTAGAAACCATCAAAAGAAAAATGATTGAATAGGAGATTATCATCCCATTAATCTACAATAAAAAGATAAGGAATATAATAGGAATCCGGGCCAAAGGTAACAACAGTTAGCTAACAGAAAAAGGAGTGAAAATGGCGAATACACATGCGAGAAAAATCACATATCTTTATAGATATCAGGGAAATGCAAATTAAAAAGAAAAAGAAATACTTTCGCCCATGAGAGTCAAAGATTCAGAGATGAGTGCCATACAGTGTTATAAAAGATAGAAATTAGCTTAGACATTGATGGTAAGAGGGCAAATGGCTGCAGACCTTGGGGGCGTGATTCAAGTCTGTGACGTTAGAAGTGGCACTCACCTAGCACTCGAGGGTGGCGGTGGTGGTATTCATGTGACTCCCTGGAGCTCGTCATGGTCTTCATGTAACTCTGGGACAGCGGTGGTGGCTGTATTCACACAACTCTCTCAGCAATGGGGGTAATGACACGGCTCGTGGGGGTGGCAGTAGCTACATAACTCTGAGAAGTCAGTTTACACGCCACTGCAGAGGTCGTGGTGGTAGTTACGTAAGTGTGCCGGTCACAGAGATCACAGAATTCCATACTGGTGGTGGTGGTACATAGGAAACTGTGATGGTGTTGGTGTGTTCACGTAATTCTATGACACTGTGGTGTCCGCATGACTGTGGCGGTGGTGGAGGTATGCACATTTGCCATGGTGTTGACATAATCCTGGAGTGGGGTGACAGTATCCACATAACTCTGCAACCTTGGTGGTGGTGGTGTTCATGTAATTCTCCTACCGTGTGGTGGTATCCACAGAACTGTGTAATTGGTCATGGTAGTCACATAAGCCTGCCGTGGTGGTCATGATGTTCCATACCTGCGATTGTGTGGTGGTGACGTCACGTGGTGTTGGTCATGGTGTCTCCATAACTCTTCGGTGTTGGTCATGGTAGTCACAAAACTCTATGGTCAGGTTGGTTATGGTGTCTCCATAACCCTGTGGTGTTGGTCATGGTAATCACACAACTCTATGGCTGTGTTGGTTGTGATGTCTCCATAACCCCATTTTGTAGGTCATGGTAGTCATGTAACCCTATGGTCATGTTGGTCATGGTGTCCCCATAACAGCATTTTGTTGGTCATAGTAGTCACATAACTCTATGGTTAGTTTGGTGGTAGTATTCCCATAATTGCATCATTGGCTATCTATTCACATAGCTCTATGAGTTGGTCATGGATCCACACAGCCCTGTCATGGTGCTGGTGTTTGTGCACATCATCTTCAACTGTGGTGGTTGTATTTCTGTGACTCTATGATGTTGTTGCTGGTGTTGTTCTGGTGACTCTGTGAGGTTGGTCATAGTATTCACATACCACGAGGAGGATGGTGGAGGTGGTAGTCAAATAACAATGTGATGGTGGTCTTGTATTCCCACGACCTTGCGATGTTGGTGGAGGTTGTGTTCACATGGTCTGTGAAGCTCATCATGGTGTTCCTACCACCCTGCAGCATTTGTCACGGCATTGGCGAGACTGAGCGAAACTGATGGTGCTAGTCATGTATCTTGTGACTGTGCTGATGGTATGATTCAGACAACCCTGTGACGTAGTCATGGTGTCTACACAACTCTGTGACGATGGTGGTGTTGGCATTAATGCATCCCTGCAAGGTGGTGGTATTCATGTAAATCTGTGACTTTGGTCAGGAGAGTCACATAACTCTCCTGGTTGGTGGTCATGGTATTCATAAGTCTCTGCAACAGTGGTGGTGGAAGTGATGATGGTTGTGGGGTTCATGTGTCTCTGGGATGGCCATGTGGTGGTATTCTCCTAGTTCTGCCAGGGTGGTTGTGGCATTCCGATAAGTCTACACGGCCATAGTGGTGATCTTCACGTAGCTCTGAGACGGTGTTGGACGTGCTAATCCAATACCTCTGCAAAGTCATTCATGGTCTTCACAGGACTCAGAAATGGTGGTCATGGTGTTCACACAATTTTTCAGGGCTGGTGTGACCTTCACATAACCCCCTGTTGGTGGTCATGGTATCCACATAACTGTGAGCCTGTTGGTTGTAGTCACATAACTCTGACGTCGGTGACAGTATACACAGACCTCTTCAATTACTTTGATCGTCTCCCCATGAATCTGAGATGCTCTTGGTGGTGTGTTCAAATAACTGCAGTGGTGCTTGTGGGGATATTTGTGGTGTTGGGTAGTTGTTGACATAACTCTACAGTGGTGGCGGTGCTATATTTCCATAACTGCAGTGGTCGTGTGGGGATACGTTCATTGATGTGCAGCCAGGAGGGTCATCCATAAAACTCTGTGATGATCATCATGGTATTCATGTAACTCTGCAGTGTTGGTGGGTTTGGTATTCCCATAGCTCTGCAACGTTAGTCGTGGTAGTACACAACTGTGAGACCGGATGTGGCATTCAGATAATTCTTTTTTTTTAAAGATTTTATTTATTTATTTGAGAGAGAGAGAATGAGAGAGAGCACATGAGAGGGGGGAGGGTCAGAGGGAGAAGCAGGCTCCCCGCCAAGCAGGGAGCCCGATGTGGGACTCGATCCCAGGACTCCAGGATCATGACCTGAGCCGAAGGCAGCCACCCAACCGACTGAGCCACCCAGGCGCCCGGCATTCAGATAATTCTGTGATGACTTTGATCACTTCAATATCACTGCAGTGTTGCTGGTGGTATTCACATAGCTATGGTGGTGTTCACAGTATTCCCATTTCTCTGTGATGGAGAATAGTTGTGTTCACATAACCACAACTTTGGTTGTGGTATTCAACAGCTCTCTGATGGGTGGCGTAATATTCAGATATCTGCAGTGCTTCTTGTCATAGTCACACATCTGCAATGGTGGTCGTGGGGTGTTCCCGTAAGTCTGCAGTTGTGGATGTGAAATTGCGTAACGGCGTGGTGGGGGTGATGTGTTCACAGAACTTTGAGGAGTAGTGGTGTTGTTGTTGACACCATTCTGCCACTTTGGTCATGCTAATTACTTCACCTGTAACGCTGCTGGTGGCGGAATTCACATAGTTCTGGGATATTGTCGTGATGTCCCCATGCTGTGGCAATGATGGATGCGGCCATCCCATCACGCTGCAAGGTTGGTTGTGGTCTTCACACAGCCGAGTGACGGTGGTGGTGGGATTCATACGCCCCTGCCGTGGTGGTGATGACGTCCACACCACCGTGATAGCAGCGGCGCCCCCACCCCCACACTGTTGTTCCTACTTCTCACGGGACTTGTGGCATCACTGTGGGTGATCAGTGGGATCGTTCATGGAACCCTGTGATGGTGGATGCAGTATGTGTGTAACCGTGTGATGCTGACGGCGCTGGGAGTTGAATAGCCCTGCGTTGCTCGTCCTGGTAGGCACGGAAGTCTGTGATGTTGGTCCCTGTGATCACGGGACTCTGCGGTGTCAGTGGTCGTCTGATCTGTGTACCCCCGCGATGTGGTTCATCGCGTCCACGTGGCCGTGGTGGTGGTGTTGCGTAGCTGCACGAGGGTTAGAGCGGCAGTCACGGTGTGTGGGTGTAGAGGCTTCGGTCCAGAGAACGTTAAAGCTTGGCTTAAAGTTACATAACAAGATACGGCAGAGTCAGGCTCCAATTCAGGTTTTCTGAATAATTCAAACGCAGGCTCTTCTGTACCACAGCATGAGGCCTCTTCCTGCAAAGTCTAAATTTAAAGGCATTGGTATAAAACATCTGTCCTTCAAGCTCCCAAGGGCTTTGGCACACAAATATTGTATTGTATCTCTACCGTTCTAGTTGTTTATCTACAGCTCTCGTTATGTCCGTGTATTTACACAGGCACACACACTTAGAGGTGTGAAACGGGTTAAAGATTTAGCTACAAATTTAGATGTGTAAATGGAAACTTCTGAAAGTTTGTGTTACATAATGCAGAAGAGGGTTTTCTGGTAAACCAAAATAAAGCAACTATGAGGGTAATGGATATATAGTTTGTTGAAACTAAATATATTGGTTAAATAATGAATATTTGGTCAAAATGTTGGTATTAGACTGTTTTCATTCTTTCTTTAGAAATTATAAACCTCTAGACCCTTGTAAAGGAATAGAAATACGATGTTGGGATGTTGGGGTGCTTACACGCAAGTACATGTTTAAGCAATTATTGAATTATGCACTTAAGATTTCTGCACTTTATGGTACATGTTATACCTCAACAAAAGTTTTTAAAAATGTACTTCTGAATGAAATGCAAATACTCGTGGATCTCGGAAGAGTCAAGTCTGGTGCCACGTAGGCACTGAGGATACTTACTCATGGGTGTGAGTTACTGCTTTTACGGAAAGAGAACAAAGCCTCACAATGTACGTAAAGTTAAAATGTGATTTAAGAAACGTGTGTGGCTTCCAGGAACGCCCTTGATGCAGTTAGGAATTGTCTCTTCATCCCTGCCCCCAAGGCTCATGATTTACGTTTTTTTCCCCTTGCAGTACTTGGGGTGCATTGAAGTTCTCCGCTCAATGAGGTCTCTTGACTTCAGCACAAGAACACAGATTACCAGGTAAGCCCTCTTGAACATGGACTCCTGTGATTTTACTTCGGAAAGGAATGATTGCAGAGTTAGCAGCCTAGAAATTTCCAGAGGGAAAGTCTTGAGCACTGGTGACGGTGACAGGGAGTCAGAACCTGGTGTATTCAGGGTTTCCACGTGTTCATCCATGTCCATGATGCGCGTCTCTGACATAAGAACCTTGGGGACGCTCCCGCTTCCAAGTTCTCTTTATAATGAAGCTGCAGACACGTGTAGTGCTGGTTGTTTCTTTATACGCAAACTCTAATACCAGATTGGTGTTTCAAAATGCACTGAACTGTGCGATTTCTTTCTAAAGAGAAAATGAAGGTGTCAGGAGAGACATGCACAGAGAATAAAATGCATGGATTGCAGGCAGAGATATTCATGGCCGTAGTAATTTAGGAAGCAACCAGTTGTTTAAGGGGTCAGTGATGTTGAGCAGGTGTGTATAGATCCTCCACCATCAACCAGATTCTAAACTCCTTGAGGGCCAGTTCTGTAGTTAAGCATAGTTTTTAATAAAGTCATAGCCTTGTAGGGCTTAAACCTTTAGAAAAACTCCCATTTCAGGTCACCTGGAAGAGGAGAACTGGAAAGCCAGGAGGGGTTCGTGAAATAGCTCATTTCTGCGGGCCACGTGCTTCGCTTGCTTTTGCGTTTGTGGAATTATTTGGTCTAAATAGTGACCTCAGAAAATGCCTCGTACTTGGGGCATTCACATCGGCCTGTTGTATATCTTTGGGTTAGCAAGCCAAAGTCTAATGATCGAACTTTAGAAAGCAATTATTTGTGGTAATGAGCTGCTAAATAATGTACACACTTTAATTGTGGTAAACACTGCAGTGCTACGTCTTCCTCGCTGAAGAGATCTGTGTTCAGAAGAAGCGCTGTTTCTCTTCTCTCTGAAGCGACCCCAGGCACACATGGTGGGAATGCACCAATGTTATAATCCGCGCTAAGGGAAGAATCCATCTCCACCAATTTGTACAAAATGGTTTATGGAAGTTGCCAGGGCAAAGGAACGGTATTCTGAACAGAGAGCATTCCAAAGGGAAGTGGGAAGGTTTATGCAGCCAGTTGTTTGTCCTGGGCATGAGGTGGCAGGTGCAGGGCGGTGTCAGTGGGCAGAGCGCTGGGCCCCATGTCTGGGGGCACGGGGACTGCATGACTGTTTACCTTCTTGTGTGTGCCGGTGGTTTCATTAAAGAGAATTGTCGGCCGTTTCTGCTGAATTCCCTTAATAGCTCCTGTCACTTCGGAGATGGTTTCATTTCACTTACATTCTCCTGATGTACCTGTCGAACGTTTAATGCCTCCTGTGCACGTGCTGGCCCGTGTGGACTGTCCCGCTTTGCCGGGCCCCTGCTCCTAGGGAGACAGATGCATAGGCAAATGACAGAGGGGTGCGGGAGGGGCACACGCCTGGGGAGCAGTGGTGGGCAGGGGGCGCGAACAATCCCGGTGCTCCCTTGATCAGAGTCCCGGTGCTCTCGGGGGCGGAAGTAGCGATAACATTGTAGAAGGAAGCTGTGGGACAGACAGTGGTGGATTAGGCGGTCTCGGTGTCCATCCCGTTCCAGGCAGGCTCCAGCAAAGGTGGCCAACGTAATGGGCTGTGGGGGAGCGCCGTTCTCGGACTCAGGAAACTTGGTGTTGAGTTCTGGCTTTGTTAGGCTTTTTGAAAACTCTGTGCTTGTCTCCGCATGCTTTCTGCTTCTTGCCTTGTTTCTATCACGTGACACGGTCCTTATTTTAGGTAATAGCTGGAGTCCGCTCGTAGGAAACAGTTTGACACACCAAGGTCGAAAGAAGCCTTTGGCTCGAGGAGAAGAAAGCCCAGCACTGCAGGGGGGCACGTGGTGGAGGTGCTGAGGCCGCTATGGTCTCCCAGCGCTAACCAAGCCCGCCCTGCCCTTACTCCTTACGCTAAAGTTTGCCGGGAAGTGGGATGTGGGTACATTCAATGTGATTAATTTGTAGTAAACAGGCTCTGGGAAAATGTGTTTCCAAAGGCTCCCCAGCCGTACTGTCCATAAAAACATATGTATATTTCTGTAAGCAGGTAACCAGCGCCTACCCATCTGTTAGACGGTTTCACGCTGTAGATGTGTCTTTTGGAGGCCACCCACGTGTCCTTTCGTGGGGTCAGTTTAGTGTCGTGCTGTTCTTGGGTCTGAGTTTAGGTTGACTGTCAGGCTTTCCATAGAGCCCCCTGTGGATTACTGATCGCTTACTAGCAGATCACAACCGCCCGGGAAGCTGCCAGCGACCATATACTTCATCGCGGTGGTGGCAGTTAATCACCTTGCACCCCTAACACTTGGAGCAGAGCAGCTTAGGGGCTGCCCACCGCGTGGAGGGACGTCCTGTGTGTGGGGCCCTGCTCTGCCATTTTCCACCTGTGTAGGCTTGGCCCCAGCTTGCACACCTGTGAACAGGGTGCAAGGATAATGCCCACCTCAGTGGTGGTTGTGGGAAACCTGACGCCCATGGGGCGGGGCCTGCAAAGCTGCATAGCCCCAGAGGGGCGTGAGGGAGGGTCTCCAGTTGGCGTCACCCGGGGCGATGGGCAGGGTGTTGGGGAGAGAGGCTTAGGCAGGGAGGACCAAGCTGGGTTTCCAAACGAGGCACTGGTGGCCAACAGTGCCCCCGAGAGTGGTTGCCCGTCTGCGTGGACCACACCGTGACCCTCCCTGAGACGTCCTCTCTCCGGACTGCGGCCGGGGGTGGGGGTGGGGGGCTGGACTGTGTTACGGAGGGACGAGCCACGTCAGACGGAGAGAACCTGGGGGAGAACGTGCGCTCTGCCGGTCGGGCCCGCCCTGCGCACGGTGATGGGAGGCTGTCCATGTGCCTTTGGTCACTGGACCAGCGAGTCTTTCCTTCTTCCCTCTGATTTCCTCGTCTGCTCATTTTTATGTTATTTATCATGTTAAATTGTATCTATTATTGGAAGTCATCTTAAGCCATTTTTAGGACATGGAAGGCTATAAATACATACACAGTTAAGCCCAGAGTACTCAGCGAGGTGGCCCTTCTCCAGCCATCAATGCAAACATCTGACACGTATTGTTGGCTCTGAATGACCCCAGCTGACCTCCTGCACTGCTTGGACTTGCCAGATGATGGTCACGTAGACAGGCGGACTCAGCCATGTGCGACTTTGCCACTCTTCCCCGGGAGCTCCAGTGGATGTTCGACACATTGTCCAGATCCTAAAATAAACTCATTCTTCCAAATTGTAGAGTCAGCAGTGTTTTCTAGTTTCGTTATTTTGTTTCCCTTGTTTTAGGAGCTGCTGTAGCTTCCATGGGCCCCAAAGACCCTGGTTAGGCCCAGACCTTCTCCAGCACCACCACGTGGATGTGACCCACTCCCCAGCGTGCCCCCTGGCGCGCACACCCAACGGTCTGCTCCAGAATCACCGTGTCTGGAAGATTCTCCAGAAACATGCATAAAGCCCCTTTAGTGTGAAAATCAAAATCAAAACCTGGGTAAGGAAAACACCTCTCTTTTGGGAAGGTATTTCCCTTTCATTCTCCTCCAGCATCCGAGTGGGGGCTCAGGAAGTGTTCATGGCTGATGTGGTCTGTCGTGGTGCTGGAGTCCATTGCTTCCCGGCCACGTGCTCCTCACATTGTCAGCGCCGGGCGGAGGGTAGTGAATGCGGGACTGGCCGTCAGCCTGCCGGTGGGAATGCCGTGACGTGGCCGTCTTTTCTGTCTGAAGTTTTCTCTCTGCTGGGCAGTCTGTTGGTGGCTGCAAGGGCTTGAATTTGAACAGAGTAGTGGGCTCGCCCCGGTGACGTGATGACCGGGGGCAGAAGCCCGGGGACGCGGTACTGTGATGGGGGCTCATGATAGCGGAGGATGCCGCCTGGCTTGCAGAGTGGTCTCTCGCCCGTCCTGTACATGGAGGGGCCCATCGGTAACCCCAAAGTCAAGCCAGATGCCCGCAGCCTGGCCTCGAGACTCTGTCCACCGTCTCTTCTCCAAGTCGACCTGGGAGGCCTGGCAATGCTGGCTTCTCCAGGCACCTCCGGCTCCAGCGTTCTCTACATGCCCTCAGAAAACCAAGTCCAGGGGAAAAACCAGCCCCCGCCTTCCGTCACCCGTGTGCATTTCCTGATTGGAGCAAGCATACTGCGCAGTGTGGGGCAGGGCTGCACCTGCTAATGGGCTATCAGGCTCTGAGCAGCAGCGGCCGGAGATGGACACGGAGGAAGGTGCGGGGCTGCCGGCCGCTGGGGCAGCCGCCTGTGGTCCAGGGACTGACTCACCCCATGGGGTAGAATGACGGAGACACCGGGGCCGTGGGCTCCGGACATCTGCTCAGGTCTGAGAACGGTGGTGTGATCCCCGCACACCGTGCTGAGTGGGCGGGACTTGCTTCTCCCTTTGCAAACCCAGAGGGAGTAACTCGGAAGGTCCTGTATTTGAAAATCCACTCTACCCGCGGTGTTAAGACGGGTGCGTTTATACGTGGCGCGCGACACAGAAAGCAAGGCTGGCTTTTGCTCGGGCACCTTGGGGCTGCCGCATCTTCCCAATTGGAAACACTCAATGATGGCACTCCCGGGCTCCTTTCTCACTACTCGATGAACACCTCTAATGTTGACTGGAGCTCAGCGAGCCAGAAGAAGAGCAAATCCGTAATGCTCTTCCCCGGGGCGGGTGTGACAGTCTGCCCACCTGTCCCTATGTATTTGGGGAACGCAGAGCCGCTCCCTTGTGACTTTAGCCTGACCCCTTCATTCTAAATTGACTTGTTCCCAACACGTGCCACGGGCTGAGCAAAGGGTCGTGGGGTCTACTTTCCTATGACTCATTTGTGTGTTCAGTCTGCATCCATAATGCTAATGAATTCACTCACTTGGTGAGCATTAAATGAGACATTACTTCTGGACACATCTGGCCTAGGCCGTGCACAGTGAAGGTGCCCAAGATCGGTCCCTTGACCAGACCCGCACGTGCTCGTACCTTATTCTG